AATGAGCCTAATAATAGAACTCACTACCTTCAAAGCCGCTATGAGAAGCATGTGAATTAATATGCACAGCACATGTATTACCTGTCAAATAGCTAAGCACTGTCATGTTCACATAAATATCTAGGCGCTAAATCTTCCTTATTTGAACTGTTTTTTCCTTTTTTATATTCTTATTTTAAAATATATTTTCATCCCTGTATAAGCTATTAAACAAAGTTAAAAGACAAAGAACTGTTAAATAATCCTATTAGTACCATCTTTAGTAAATGTCCCACCACCAGTGGTTTCTAAAAGGGTAACTACATTTATGTTTTTATTATTTTTGTAATTTTCAGGGAAAAGTGTTTCCTTTAAAATTTTCTTTTTTTTATTGTTTGGGATTCATTGAGGGTACAAAGAATTAGGTTACACCAATTACATCTGTTAGGTATGCTATGCCTCTTATAACTGCATCCTGCCTCCAAGAGCTGTGCCACACGCAGTGATGCCCCCATCCCCTCCCTCTTCCTCTCTCCCCACTCTCTCATTCCCCTACTCCCCACCTTGTATTAGCTCATCTACTGCCTTCATATTAGAATTGAGTACAATGGATTCTTGCTTCTCCATTCTTGGATGACGACATTTAAAAGTTGCATTAAAAAAATCTTAGGGATTGATTACAAACCTCTCTCAAACTTTTCTGTAAACTCATTAGTACAAATTATGGATGATTCAGAAGAACAAAGCAAAAGAAAATAATTGTATATAAACGTGACTACAGCAATTTAGGGGAGAATGTAATTATAGTCACTTAAAATCCTGGTAATCTGTGCCTAATCACTAGTAACATAGTTAATTATTGATAGGTAATATGCAAATTTGAATACAGAAAAGTTCTCTTAGTCAATTTCTACTTCACAGAAACAATTCTTTTTTTTTTTTTTTTCCCACAGAAACAATTCTTTATGACTCTCAGGAAAAACCAACTGGTAGGAGCTTTTTTATGGATATATTCGAAAACATTTCCTACCCCAGCACTCAAGATGACATAAATGTAACTGAGTATGTATAAAGAGGAAATGAACTAGATAATGCTGGGTAGTATTTCTGTTCGATTTTAAAGGAACAGAAGCTGATTATTTCAAAGAAGGACTTACAGGTGTGATACAAGAAGCACAACAAGCACTATTCCTATACTAAATAATAAAAAATACCTTGGTCTTGCATTAAAAGACTGGCAAATTAAAACAATGTATAATTTTAGGAGGCTATCTACTACTATAGTTAAGGGAACACATAGTTCAGTGTTTTACTTTTAATATTAAAGTTTTCTTACCGTTCTACTCTCTTATCATATGTGTATAAGGGGGAAAGCTAGATATAAAAATAGAAACCTGAGTTAATAAGTCATATATTCAAATGATAAGATGACCAGAAACAGTCAACCTAAAACAGATGATACAGAAGGGCTAGACCACAGGAAATTCTTTACTCAGACAAAGAAAAACTCATGTTTATGTATTGTATCCTACAGAGATTATAGGAGACACAATGCCTGACACAGAATATACATTACAGTATATACTTGTTGATTGATAAATGAATGGCAAATATAGGCTATAAAACAGCCACTTGAGACCAGGAATTCAAGACCTGCTTAATAAGCAACATAGCCAGATCCCGTCTCTACAGAACATAATAAAATAATTAGCTAGGTGAGGTGGTACACAACTATAGTCCTTGCTACTCAAGAGGCTGTGCTGAATGACCACCTGAGTCCCCAAGTTTGAGGTTGCAGTGAGCTATGATCACATCCTTACACTCCAGCCTGGGCATCAGAGCAAGACTTTGTCTCACAACCTAACCAAACCAAACAAACTGACCAAAACATTTTCTGAGACAAAAAATAGTAATAAGGAAAGTTTCTAAAAGAAAAGTTAATTTCATTATTACTCAAACATTCACTCAACAAATACTATGCGAAGACCCCTAACTAGAAACCATAAATATTCAAGAACTAAACTATGTCTCTTATCTATTCCTGCTACACAGCTCTGTTATTTCCCTTATTGATAAAGGTCGATAAAGTAGTAAGTTGAACTGAGATTTTTAAATGACAATGGTTTTATTTGAGGACTTAGTAAGGGAAGAGCATTTCTTTTTGAGTTTACAATCTTTAGGGACATAAAACAAGCTGAACTTGAGGACGATTCTCTCATGAATAATTTTCACTGATGGCCTACTACATACAACACTACGAGCCATCCGTTTTGCTAGATACAAAGAGCAGCACTAAAGGGCGTATCTCTTCCTTTACTTTATGCACAATGCCTGGCACATAGCAAGTACATAACAGACCTAAGTCAATCTAGATAAAATCCTAACTACTTCTTAAAGTCACAAACCAGTGTGGGTGAGGTGAGGGCTGGGTCAGGAAGTAGGCATTTATGACCTAGTGTGTACGTGCATAAACTGTGTTAAGTGCCGTGTGAGACATGCTGCTTTTATTACTGTTTCATGTCTTCACCATCTTTCTACCAGCTAGATTATATACTGTTAAGAACAGAAACTGCCTTATAGTATACTTTCCATAATACTAACCAGTGCCATTTCAATAAATTTTTGTTGATATACTAAAACAATCACTCGTCTGCAGGGTGCCCAAACTTTAATTAGGAGAAAAAGACAAACAGGTAAGCAGAAAAACACTCTGCAATTGAAAAGCAATACAGCAAAACAAAGGACAAGTCAGTATGTGAGTAGAGATGGGTTAAGGAAAGCTTTGTAGAGAAAATAAATTTCATGCCAGGTCTCATTACTGTCTGAACTTTAGAGCTAGGTAGGAAGGTAGATGTTTCCTTGTTGAATTCTGTCTTTTATCAGATGTGATTCACAACTGATCCAAAGGGGTTTAATCAATGAATATAGAATGAGAAAATCTGAGTTCAGAGGAAACTAATAAAAACTTTTACTTACTATTACATTCCTTTAATCTTTTAAAATGTCACCAAAGAATATGTATAATAATACAATTCTTGCCTTTGAAATGCCTAACTAAAAGTCTGGAAGAATATATATCAAGTGTTAACCAAAAACGTCATCAATATTTTTAAATCATTATTTTCCAAAAACTTCTTTTATAGTCTGGACATAAAATTCTCAAGCTTTTCCGAAAGAAAAACCAAAACATTCATACAGTTATTAACTATCGAATTGTTTCTTGATGATTTTCTTAGTGTTCAGTAGAACATGGAGCCTATGAAAAAAAGCACAGGCTTTCTAACAACTTAACTAATATTTACCGAGAGCCCAGAAGGATGAGACATCATGCTGGCTGCTACAAATCCAATCTGTATAATTGAGGTATACAGACCAGATCTGCACTCATACAGGCTGGAATCTAGCAGACAAGACACACAACTAAACACACACTAACAAAGAGGGCTGTATTATATACTACGGATTTAACTAAAATACTTAACCTAGACTTAGGAGAGAGGGGAAATCAAAATCTCTGAGGGAAGTGCCCAGGAATAACCATTTTAAAGAAGTTCTTCCATCTAACTGGCAAAATACACTAGATCAGGAGAGAACGCCTGTGTCAGAACTCAGAGAGCTGTATTTATTGTAAGAAAGTGGAAAAGACAAAGGAGATTGAGAAGCTTCAGTCTGAGGAGGCAGGAGGGAAAGAAATACAAGTATAGTTTTACAGAAGCAGAAGGAAATGGAAAATAGGATTTTAAGGGGTTAAGTCCTTCCTAGTGAAAATGGCAGCACGAAGCTCGACTTTACAGAGCTCTTCTCCCATATAAACACTCACTCTACACACATCTATGGCAATTTTATACGTGCCAGGAACTGTTCTAGATGCTTTATGCGTATTTCCCTGTTCAATCCTCACAATAACCCAAAAGGTAAAAACTATTATTACTATTATTTAAAAGCTGGTAACTGACAAAACCAGGATTTTAACCCAGCAGTCTGGTTTTACTATCTGTGCACCTAACCAGCAGGCTGTACAAGTAAACAGAAGCAGCAAAAGGTAGAATAACACCCCACCAAGTTTGTTCTTCCCATGGAAATTTCAAATGCACACACTCTTTCATTTTAGGAATTTATTCTGCAAATGTACTCACACATGTACAAAACTATTCATTAAATTCTGGTAAGACTAGAAACAATTTAAATTTTCATCAATAAAAAACTAATTTATAACTAATATGGAACAAATTCCTGGATATTTTGCTCAATGAAAAGAATAAACGTAAACCATGAGTAAAGTCTCTGACCAGTATGTTACATATGCATATTGCATCTATCGTCATCTATCTCTGAAAGGATATGTCATAAACAGCATGACAACTGTAACAGGACATGTCTGGGACAACTGTGGGCCCAATAAGACAGTAGGAAACACAGCCCTATAAATGAGTGTATAGCCAAGGAAGGCCTATGTTGTAGTATGTATAAGAGGAGGAGGATGGGCTCTCGCCTTCTTCCTTTCCCCACCAGCCTAATGACACAAAAAACAACAAAATGTGGGCTCTGAGCGCCTCCTCCCCGGTGCGTTCTTCACGCCAAGTAAGCCACAATTACCACTCACATATGAAAAACTAGGAAAATACTGGGAAACTATATCCACTCACCTCTCTGGATCTTTATGTGGTTTCCATACTTTGTATTATTTTTTTGCTATCTTGGTACAATTCTGTACTGAGACTAAGCTTGTCTTACCTATCCTTGAACACAAATCAGCCTTTTGTAGTTTGGCTTCCCCCAACAACTATGAAGAAAAAGTAAAATAAAATGAAACGGCAAAAATAAGAAAAAAATAAATGTGTGTGTGTATGAGTGTGTCTTAGTCCATTTGGGCTGTTAAAATATCATAAACTAGGTGGCTTATAAATAGCAAATGTTTCTACCTCATAGTTCTGGAGTCTGAGAAGTCCAAGGTGGAGGCACTGGCAGTTTTTATTTATTTATTTATTTTTTAAAGATAGTTAATTTTATTTGTTCAAGGGCTCATTTTGCAAGCATTAAATCAAGCCTGGGCTTGGATTCTGTGAGCCCACATTCACATATTAAGGGAGATAAAAGCAAACTATGATCCATGTACCTGGCTGAAAACTAAAGGCTCAGGGTTAATCAGATGGTAGTTTTTGAATTCCCACAGCCTAGAGTTCAGCAGTCACAGGTCTTTCAGGTCCTTCTGGATGTCCCACAGGGTATCTGCACTTTTCTTGAACTGAGCAACCTCTTCATCCTTTAGTTTCTGGTTGATGACGCTAGTTAATCCCCGAGTGTTGAGGATACGTGAAGGCTCAGGAAGACTTCATTCTCAATACCGTACATCCCCATCACCATTGTGGATACTGGGTGAATCCTGGATAGATTTTTCAGCATGGATTTAATAAGATCAGCTACACTTCATCCAATTGCCCAGTTAGTATATCCTTTTAGCTTTATGACGTCATAGGTACTCTCAACCACCATCTTATGCACTTCTTTCCAATTTTCACTATCATTGTCTGTTCCCATTTCTGGATTCAATTCCTGGAGAGAAACACCAGCCACATTTACTCCACTCCACACAGCCATGCTTGAGTCGCCATGTTCTCCCAAAATCCATCTGTGGCAGCTGCTGGGATGAATGCCAAGCTTTTCAGCCATAAGATAGCGAAATCTAGCAGAATCCAGGTTGCACCCACTTCCAATCACACGGTATTTGGGTAATCCACTTAAGTTTCCAGGTAAGATATGTAAGAATGTCCACTGGATTGGAAACAACAATTATGATGCAATCAGGACTGTACTTGACGATCTGAGGAACAATGAACTTGAAGACATTAACATTTCTCTGCACCAGATTGAGACGACTCTCCCCCTCTTGCTGACAGGACACGTGCAGTTACCACCACAATCTTAGAATTGGCAATCACAGAATAATCTTTATCTGCCACAATTTTAGGTGTCTGAAGAAATAAGCTCCCATGCTGCAGCTCCATCATTTCTCCTTTAACCCTATCTTCCAGAACATCCACAAGAGCAAGTTCATCAGCCAGAGACTTTCCGAGAATGCTGATAGCACACGCCATGCCAACTTGTCCAACGCCCACTATCGTGATCTTATTGTTTGGGACCGCTGCTTCTTCTTCTGCAACTGGTGCAATGAGTTTTTCCTTATGAGTTGCCATTATAAGCAACAGGGAGGTTTCCTTAGCTGCTCTGAAAGTCCAGCGCAGGCAATGTGAGCTCGGTGCATCTCCCACTGGCAGGTTTGGGGCCTGGTGGGGCCTGTTTCCCAACTCAGATGTTCTGTCCTCTCACAGCAGAAAGACAACCGGCTCCCTTGGGCCTCTTTTATAAAAGCACTAATCCCACCTATGAGGGCTCATGACCTGATCACCTCTTAATTCCATGACCTTGTGATAAGGATTCTAACCTATGAATTTTAGGGGACACAAAGAGTCAAGACTGTAGACGTATGGAAGCATGTAAAAATCCAGACAGAGAAAGGAATGTGGAAAAAAAAACTTAATAAACCAAAGGAAATGCCCTACATTTGGGTGCCACTTAATAATATATATTGAATAAAACAAGAGATCAAAGGTAAAATGATAAACCCACTTTAATAATAAAATCTAGCCAATTAAAAGAATAAAAAAATTACATAATTTAGGACAGGATAGTAAAAAATTCCATAGCAGTAAATAAAAGATAATAAAATCCTCAGATGAGACTGCAGCCCCAACCAACAGCTTGAAGACAAAATTTAGCCAGAAGCAACTAGCTAAGTCACATCCATTCCTGACCCATAGAAAATATGAGATAAAGTGTGGTAGTTTAAATGTGGGGGTAATCTGCTATACAAAGATAAATGATGGTGACACTGCTTGATTCTGATGAATGTGTAAGGAAGGCATTTATACCACTTTTCATTTGCTTCAGTTTATGTGTACCCAAATATTACATTCCCTTCTGCAATTCTGTCTTTTCTCATATACTGTCACTCTTCTTAAACATCATCAGCTGATCTTTTAAGAGTTACCTAAACTTAGTTCTATCTATTAGAACTAAACTTAGTTCTATCCATTTCCATAAGTTCAAAGCTCTAGTAACACTGGACTACCCTCCAATTTCTGAGCATGTCCAATCAGAATTGATAATGTCATTATAATAATTGCCCAGTAATGTAACAGTATGTATGCTTAACAAGTAAAAACTATATTAAAAAAAGAAAAACAGTTTATTCAGAGCTATTCTGGATAATAATAAAAATTAATTTATTATTAAAATAATAAAAATTATTCCTTCAATATTTACCTTTGGGGGGCAAATAGAGAAAAAAGTCAGTGGTTATACATTTGCATTGAGGGAAAAGGATATAATCGTCTATTGCATAACTCATTCATTCAATCATTTTTTAAAGATGTTATTATTTTTACATTTAAGACCAAGTTTGATGTACCACTTCAAATCACTATCCAGTGAAAGGGAAAGTAAAAGGGCAGAAATAAGAATACCTACATTTTCAATCTGACTCCTGAAACAATTGTCAGCACAGAGCCTTTCTGAAAGTAATGTTTCAATAAAAATTACAGCAGTATTTTCCAAACTGTCTTCATGAAACTAGCCAACTGAAATTGTTATTAAAAATTCTTTGATGAAAGGGTTCTTACATCAATTAGACTCAGAAAATACTAGATTAAAAAGAGAAGTCCTTTTCCCCACTAACATCCATTTTATCTCTAAAATCTATTTTAATGTCCAACTTGAGATACATAGTCTAGAACCCATTGTGCCATGCACACAAAATATATGCAATGAAATAAATGAGCACTGTACTTTCAATTCCAAGTCTCTCTCAGATACAGATAATCAGTAAGGAATTAATAATTTCGTAATTCTACACTTTCTTTGTACTTTCCGGAGAAACAACTTATAGATGCTGATTTTACATACCACGAATTACAAGGAACCAAGAAACTCCTAAAATATCTTTTTATTGTTTGACTAATCTAGACAGTGGATAACATGGTTGAGTAAATACATTATATGACATTTTCATCTTTTAGGAATATTCTCCCATTATGTAAATTTTGACAGGCAAAGGGATCTCCCAGAAAGACAGAGGCTATAAAACCCTGCCGAGACAAAGGGTCTTGGATGAGACAGGGCTAAAAACCCTACAAAAGCATATTTTTAGACTCTTATTACAAAACACAGGTTGGAGGGAGGAGGTAGTTGAGTCCAGCTGCCAAGAAAAAGGTGATAATAATGTTAACGCTTTCTGATCTTAAGAATTAACTCCAGTAGTTGAGACTTAAAACCTATCTAGACAAAAACAAAGGGTGCCTCTGAATAAAGGCTGTCAGGCTGCTAACCCCTACCGATTCTTCAACTGCATCTTCTTTTACACCTTAATAGGGCTTTATTTTCTAATCTTGTCCAGGCTACACTAAAGCAACTAGGTTAAAATAACCATGACCCTAGAACATACCTATCCTAACACACTTAAACCACTGTGCTATACTTATCTTTGTTACACTCTTCTACTCATATGTTCTTTTTGTTTTCTTTTTCAGAGCATCTTTTTTTTTAATTAAATCATACCTGTGTACATCAATGTATTAATGCTTTCTTAATTCTCTCCCTTCTGCTTCCACTATAATTGAACTCTCAGAGGCAAGGAAGGGCCCGTCTTAGTTGTCCCTATGCTTACAGCATCTAGAGCACATTAGACAGTAGTACTCTAATATTGAAAGGAGCCTACATGTATGATTTAACTTCATGAGTAGGACTCAGAAATAGATTGCCAATTTGCTGTCATCTGTAATCAGAGGGAATTAATTTTTTCCATGTCGTATCTCACTACCTAAACTTCCTAGTTGCACCACCCGCTGACCTAACCCCCATCTTTCCTTATAGTAAGACAAAATAACTAGGGCTGCTTTTAAGTTTCCTTTGAAATAAAAAATCAAACAAGGGTACAAGTGAACTTTTCTAGAACTAGAGTATAAATGTTTTAACACAATAACTAAGCAAATGACACTAAGTCTATGTTAACCAGTTTGCTGAAAATATTTCAAATAGTATATGAAAACACTACACTACACTATACCCTATGTTTGCATTAATGTATACAGCTATCATTTAAAAAAAAAGAAATAAAAAAATCAAATTACATAACCAAAAGCATGTATTATTTTAAAAATAACATTAACATTTTAGCATAAAACTACTGCCACAAAAGGAATTCCTTCCACTAGTAAGAAAGACTATCCATGCACATAAAGTTCTAAGTAATTTAGCTACTGTGGTAAAAAAGGCAGCTAAAAAGAGAACAATGAAGTCAAAAGGAAAAGCCAGCTAGTCGAAGGTTTTTTTTCCTTTCTCTTTTGGAGCAATGCCTTGTATTTCACTGGAAGTTTAAAGCTAAGTCTTGACCATATAAGGCTTCGGGATTCCCATGGATGGAAAGGCAGAGAAAAAAGTCAAATCTAAAACCTTAAAATACATGAACATAGGTACTATACTACCAAGAGAAAAAGTTCATTTTTTAAAATTCTAGTTTCATTTAAACATATTCTCATAGATCATCCCAAAAATGTTCCTGCAAATTATAATCAAATTCACAAAGAATATATATAAATCATTGAAATTCCTTTGGAAAACAAAAACTTTTGATGAAAATCTTCTTAAAGTCTTTCACACATTCTCCCATCATTTTAAACAAGTACAAAAAAAGTAATTTAATTTTTTCTATTAATTCATTATGTCATCAACTATTAAACTGCTCTTACATAACAACATCCTTGTAGCCAACAGTTTATGTAGCTAAAACGATACCTAATATGCCTTTTGGGAATCCTGTTTGCTTTTAATAGGTTTTCTGTTCCCCATCTTGCTTTCAGCTGTCACCTCTTAAAATCATATTCCATTCTAATTTGTAGCTCTTTTTGTCAAACATTTTTTAAAAAAAGTAGTCTAAAATAAGAATACATAGAAATTACATGAGGACTTCTGAGTAAAATAAAAGTACTTGGGCTGAAGTGTGTGGATTCTGCAACTTCTGTGTCAGTTCTATGAGTAATGCTTATTTCCCAAATATTTTTTAGGTCATAAAGTTTCCAAGATGGGGAAAAAATTTATTAGAGAAGTTATGCCCTGTAAGATGTAGTGGACTGACCTAAAAGAAAGTAATACCAAAAATGACTACTGCTCAGAAAAGAAAATGAATAAATATGGTTGGCAATGTTTCTCTGCGTGAAGATGATTAAGAAGAGCAATTATACACAGCAACTCCTGCAGATAATTTCAGAGCTCCTAGGGAAAAAAATAGTGGCAACTCTAAAAAAAACACGAAAAGGCCCTGAGCTAACAGTTTATCTTTGTATTATTTATACTGCATTCTCAACTTGCATACACATGGACTACACAACAAAATATGCTAGAAAATCACTTTGTGATTTAATTTTAAGTGCTGTAAAACACAAAAGGGGAGAAGTAGAAGACGCTTATTTTACAAAACTTAGTTATATTTAAAGCTCACTGGAATAGTTATGTCTGATACAAATGGAACAATACTGTCTGATACAGCTATTTCATACTACTAAGGGAACTATATAAAGAAGACAATGAGGTAAAACCCAAAGTCTGTATTTATTGCAATAATCAACTTCCTCCTTCCACGTAACACCTTTCAAAAGACCAAAAAACAGTTCTTGACTTCAGTGCCCTTCACCAGCACTGCTGAACTATTCAGATCTTGTAACAATCACTAAGTATCTACCAAGTGTTAAGTATCGTATGTCGGGCATACAAAATGGAATCATGACTAAGACAGATCCTTATGAAGTATGTATACCATTTTAACAGGGAGACAAACAAAAACATCACCTATGTTTAATACGAAAAGTGCAATGTTTTGCAGGCACTCAGATAACAGGCAATAGCCTAAGTAGGAGAAAGGCTTCTGAAAGGAGATTCCTAATCTATGTCTTCAAGGATAAACGGTGAAGGTTAAAACAATTGCTTACAAAAAGAGGAGAGGAGCAGTGTATCAGAGAGCATTGCTCTACATCCTAAAGCTACATAATAAAAGCATAAACTATTTCCTTATTCTACCTTCCAGATCTCCTCCTCTTTTCCCTCACTTTTTACTACATGTTCAAACATATAGCAAATGTGGCAGAATTTTACAGTGAACACATATATATCCACCATCTAAATTCTATCAACATGTTAGTACTTGCGTTAGTACATTCCTAACCAACTAGTCACTTCTTTACACATCCATTATTAATACAAATACCTTGAAAGTACCAAAAAAGTAAATCTGTAAAAGATATTTCTTATTATATAGTTTGGCTTATGTATCAAGTAGAGTTCAATATTTTGTTTCATTTTCCTCTGATGCAAAATTTAGATACAATGAAATGCAAAGATCTTAAATAATATACATTCACTGTTTTACCAATTAGCATAATACCTATTGAAATTTAGAATATATCACCATTACAAAAAATTTTCCCATCTCCCTTTCTAGTTAATCTCCCC